AAAGCACGCGGCATGTGGCACCAGCATCTAACTTAATCTGCCAAACCAACTTCTGGGCGCCGCCGCCCTGGATAACCGCCCCATGTTTGCAGTGCAGCCTGGCGCCGGGCTCCAATGAAACGCCCGCTGCGTGCAGTGATCAATCCGACCTGCAAAGCGAATCTTTTATAACCATTTTGAATGCCTGCGCGACGCCTGCATCTATAGTGGGTACACGTTTTGACCCCATGGCGCCCGCGCAGAACCACGCGCCCCCCTGCGGCTACACTTCTAGCCCCAGTTCTAGAAACGACACGTGGAACATCCACATCTTCCTTGGGTTGTCTGGAGCTAATTGGTTGTCTGGCGCTGCTTCGTCAGAATAAAATATCAGCGGCCACGGTCGCTCGAAAGAGCGCGGCCTCGAATGCAGCTTGGGGCGACTTCGTCGGATCCATGGGCATGCGTTCGAACGCAACCGCCTTCTCGAGCTCGGCAGGGTCAACGCCGATCGGCCTGAGCAGGGCGCCAACCCTGTGGACGTTGCAGGCGTTCACGCCAAGACCAGAACGGTTCGAGAAGTGGATGATGACATCGCCAGCTTCGGCGGCGATCTGCGTGGCGACCATCGCCGTCAAAAGGCGGTCGACGCAATCCTTCCAAGCTGTGATCGGGGCAAGCTTGCCTTCGCGATGCATCTCGATGCGTCCGCTGATGAAATCCACCAGCTCTAGCGGATAGAAATTCTGCATTGTGCGCACTGGAAATGCAGTAGCTGCAGAAGAGAGAAGCGAGCTCGGGCCTGACGCGCCTACGCTTCGTCACTGCAATTCCCAATGCTGAGACAGCATCATTCTTGTTGGTATACAATGTGGTCTCACTTGAAAGACTGGCACGCGCTGCACCGAACGCACGCATGATGAATGACAAATGAGCTGCGGCACATTATGGAGAATGCAGTTGCTGCAAACGCTGACCAAGTTTAATCGCGGAGTCGCTCGTCGAGCGTGCAGTTGCCACTTGGCGCAGAATCCAGCGACGGATGCGTCTTCGCGCAAGTGAGCGATTCCATTCATAATTGCCCCATGGGCAACGTTTGAAAATCAGAAACACGCAATGCGGGCCCCATCCGAATACAAAAATGTGAAATATAATTCTGACTTTAACACTGGGCAAATCACATTCCAACCATCAACAAAATATCGCTGCGTCAAGTTGCAACTCGGCCTAAGTCAAGATAAGGTAAGGCAAGTGCGGGCCAACTGATGCAAATGTTATGTGGTTTGCTAAGGTAGCTACGTAATAGACCTGAACTTACAACCGCTTGACAGACTTGCGTATATATTGCAGCTACCTTACAACTACCTTACAACTACATTACAAGTGCCTTACAACTCAACCCCAAAGTTCACTATAGTGGCGTGGGTTCTGGTAGCGTGGGTGGGGGGAGCAGCCAGTCGGCGTGCGCGCGCGTGCGTTTCCTGAGTGGGCATGTGTGTGTGGGTGGTGGTGTGTGTGCGTATGTGGCGCGGTTTGGGTGGTGTGTGTGTGTGGTAAAATGACATGAATGTGTGCGGGTGTTCATGTGTAGATGGGTGAGTACGTGAGTATCGTGGTGGTGTGTCCATGTGTGTGTCATGTGTTTGCGTTCATGTGGGTGTGCGTGCGTGTGTGCGCGCGCGTGCACGGTGCTCGCGCGCGAGTGCCAGGCGCGGCGTGTTCGCGCGAAAGACAAATAAACAGTCGGGGTGAGCAGAAACGATGATGGTAATGTTGTGGTGGAAGTGATCGCGGTGGCGCGCGCGCGCGAGTGCGGAATGGCGCGGCCAGGAACTGGCCAAAGGCAGCGACAAAATAATGTGCGCGTGTGGCGTGTGGTGTGTGTGTGTGTGTGTTTGAGCGTGCGCCCGTAATGTCTGCGCCTGGGGGGCAACCCCAAGCGACCCGGATCGGCGGCACTGGCCGAAGGCCACTTGCATATCACAAATGCTGGGACGGTCGGTCCCTGCTCAAGAGGATGACAATCGTCCAGGGGTGGGGGCGGCCATGTGGCACTTGAAGACAAATTAGTTGGTGCGTAATGTTCTGCCGTGCCAGGGCTTCCGCTTACACGAATTGGTACTCGACTTTGCGTCGGGACACGGTGGCCACGCAGTCTGGGCCAGCGGCCAGTGCCGGGCGAGGCCACGCCGACGTCCTGAGCCGCAGCCTTCGGCGGTGGCGTGCACCCGTCGCGCCACTGCGTTGTATGTATATGTGTATGCATGCATGCATGAATACACCTAGATATACATATATAAATATACATATAGACACAGATGTGTGTAAGTATGTAAGTGTGTATGCACGCGTGAATGTATATACGCACATGTGTTGTGCATGTGTGTATGTATGTATGTATGTATGTATGTATGTATGTATGTATGTATGGTGTATGTGTGGTTGTATGCTGGTATGTGTACAGTATACAGGGATATGTGTATGTATGTGTATGTGGATGTTCGCACTATGCATGTTTGTATGCATGCATGGATGTTATGTGTGTATGTATGGAACGTATGGATGCATGTCGACATGCATATATGATTGTATGTGTGTATGCCTGTTCGTGTGTGTATGGTAGTCTAAATGCTGCGTGCATATTTGCGTGCATGGTTGTATGCATGTATGTATGTGTTCATGTATGCATGGTTGTTGTATGTACGTGTGTATGTATGCATGCATGTATGTATGTGCTTATGGATGTGTGTATGTATGTATGTGTGTATGTATGTATGCATGTATGTATGCCACCGTGTGTATGTCGGAGGTGAGGGGGTGAGATCGAAGTGGAACGGAGAGCCCCCCTACCGGGAAATCGATTTCGGTTTCGTGTTCGTGCGTGCCGTGCGGGCGAGGCGAAGCTGCGTGGGCGGGCGAGAGAAAGTCTCCTGTGGCTGAGGCGCGGCCGGACCAAATGTCTCCCTTCCGGGCGGCCGGTGGCCCGCGGTGTCCCGCCGGTGTCCCGCTGGTGTCCCGTGTGGCTGAGGCGCGGCCAGACCAAATGACTCCCTTCCGGGCGGCCGGTGGCCCGCGGTGTCCCGCCGGTGTCCCGCCGGTGTCCCGTCGGTGTCCCGATGATGATGATGATGACGATGATGATGATGATGACGACGACGATGACGATGACGATGACGATGATGATGATGATGATGATGTTGATGATGTTGATGATGATGATGGTGGAGATGATGATGGTGTCCCGATGATGATGATGATGATGATGATGTTGACGATGTTGGTGATGATGATGATGGTGGTGATGATGATGGTGTCCCGATGATGATGTTGATGATGATGTTGCTGATGATGATGATGTCCCGATGATGATGATGATGTTGATGATCCTGATGATGTTGATGATCGATGCTCATGATGAAGATGATGATGATGATGGTGTCCCGATGATGATGATGATGATGATGAGGATGAGGAAGAGGAAGAGGATGAGGTTGATGATGATTATGTTAATGATGATGAGGGTGTCCCGATGATGATGATGATGATGACGTTGATGATGATGATGACGATGATGGTGTCCCGATGATGATGATGATGTTGATGATGAGGATGATGATGAGGTGATGATGATGATTTTGATGATGGTGGCCCGATGATGCTGAGGATGCTGATGTTGATGATGATGATGGTGTCCCGATGATGATGATGTTGATGATGATAATGATGATGTTGCTGATGATGATGGTGTCGCGATGCTGATGATGTTGATGATGTTGTTCATGATGATGATGAGATGATGATGATGATGATGATGATGATGATGATGATGATGACTATGATGGTGCCTCGATGATGATGATGTTGATGATGACGATGGTGACGATGATGGTGTCCCGGAGATGATGATGACGATGATGATGATGATGACGATGATGATGATGATGGTGGTGATGTTGATGTTGATGATCACGATGATGAGGTGATGATGATGATGATGATGATGGTGTCCCGATGATGATGAAATGATGATGATGATGATGATGATGATGATGATGATGATGATGATGACGTTGATGACGATGATGTTGATGATGATGTTGATTGTGAGATCGATGGTAATATCGACAATGAGATCGATAGTGAGACCGAATGTGAGATCGAATGTGAGATCGATCGTGAGATCGATAGTGAGATCGATTGTCAGATCGATAGTCAGATCGATTGTGAGATCGATCGAATGAAATAAATCGAGTGAGATCGATGGTGAGATCGATCGAGTGAGATCGATCGAGCGAGACCGATAGTGAGATCGTGAGATCGATAGTGAGACCGATCGAGTGAGACGTTGGTTCCTCCCCCCCCGAACCTCCTTATCACCCGAAGGGTGGTCGTAGAGGTATGCATGCGTGCATGCATGATTGCATGCATGTATGTGTACGTGCATGTAGGTACGTATGCGTGTATGCATGTATGTGCGTATGTACGTGTGCATTCATGTATATACATGTGTGTGCATGTACGTTGTACGTACGTACGTACGTACGTATGTATGCATGCATTTATATCTGCATGCATGCATGGATAGATGTATGGATGTATGTAGGCAAGCGTGTATATATATGCACGTATGTATATATGTATGTGTGTGTCTGTACGTGTGTATGTGTATATGTGTGTATGTATGTATGTATGTATGTATGTATGCATGCATGTATGTATGTATGTATGTATGTATGTATGTGTGTGTATGTATGTGTGAGCGTGCGTGCGTGCTATACTGGACACATCCTGCATGCTCGTGCCATGTAGGAGGAAGCTGACAAATGAAAGGCATGATATGGTGGAAAGAAACGAATTGGGTTTGGATGGGGCGGAACAGGGCGAACCAGAAGCGAGCTGAGGTGAAGGGGAGACAAGCGGCGGGAGGGCAGAGACGGCAAATGGGAGGGAAACGGCTGCGAAAGACATAGAAAAGCAACAATTACAGATCTGGGGGATACGACATCACACACAGCCCAGTCCAGGTGCGGGGGACCTCTATCCAGCCGTTGCCGTGTACCACGAACAACTGCTTGGCGTTGGTCCCGGCCGGATAGCAGGGATACATGATTGGTACCCTGCTGCGCTCCCACTCGGGCCGCCGCTCCTGCTTCTTATCCCAAGGCCCTGAGTTGCTTCTCCTCCTCGTCCCCCCTCCTCCTCACATGTTCCCCAGGCTTAGAGCACGCGCTGAGTCGCAGTCGATGAATCGAAGAAGCTTCATCATCGACGATGATGAAGCTTCTTCTCACCATTCAGCTCCTGCTCCCCCCATCTCCCTGTCCCTCCCGCAAGCTGCACCGTTGAAAGCCGCAAGCTCCAGGCCGTGTTGATTACTGGCTCATGAAAGCCCTGCTGGGGGGCAAACAAACTCTGCCTGCTGAAGGGCGGGGCGAGCGACACCTACCAGAGTACCCTGGAGTGTTAGAAGTTGCTGCAACCACACATGAACGTCTTGGCTGTAGCTCCAATCCAAGACTCACAAATCATGACCACCACGGCAACTCTGCTCGCAGACTCTATCGACCCGGTGTGCACGGAGACCTCCATCCACGACCTGCACGTCCGCTGGGCGACTACCGCCCGAAAACTCCCAGGGCCTTCCTCCAAGACCAGTTCTTCATCGTCCCGTCCTTCCCTCGACCTTCTCTTCTTCACTTTGGGTAAACCGTAGCACACCTCGTGAGAACGCGAATGGAGTTCTCGCAGGCGTGTCGCCCCCGAAGAGCCCGTTGGTGTGGCTGTCCGCGTCAGAGCCGCCCAAGCGGCCCCGACGTCGTCGGCAGCGCCGCTCCGAAGGAACGGGAGCCTCTAGGCGCATCCTCCTCCTCTTGTCCTCCTCCTCCTCCTCCTCCTCCCCCTCCTCCCCCTCCTCCTTACCATCGACATCATCATCCTCGTTCCCATCGTCATTCAAATCCTCACCTGTATCCTCGCTCCTGTCCTGCACATGCTGCCTGATCTGGCGGTGCCCGCTCCCCCTCCCCCCGCCCACTGGTGCCTGCCCGAGCCAGAGTCGACGCACAAGTCCAGGCCGACGTTTTTCAGCTCCCATCTGCCCCCGTACTTTGTCAGCACCCACCTGGAAGGGAGAGAGGAAGGGGGCAAGAAGGAGAGGAGGAGGGAGGCGGAGAATGAAGGGCATCCTCCTCCCCAGGTGTCCCTCCACTTCCTGCTCCGTCCACTTCTTGCTCCCTCCTCCTCTTCCTCCTCCTTCTCTTCCTCCTCCCCGCTCGTCCGGCCTCCCTCACAGCTTTTCTCCTCCCTCATCATTCGGGTCGGGCGAAAGGGGGGGATAGCAAAAAGGGGGTTTGAGAATCAGCTCACGTAGCTGATTTTCCCGGTGCCTCCCGGCGCCGGAGGCGGCTATGTATCGAGGAATGGGCCCCTCGGTGAGGCCGAAACCAGCTGCATGCAGCAAATTTCGTAACCCCCCTTTCCCAATCCCCCCCTTTCGCCCCGCCCGAATCATGTCAACGCAGGTACGGCGGGAACAACAACTACTCTACTCTGCGCATAGCTCGGCACGGGCGAACCAAGCAAGCAGATCGAGCGGGCAGGAAGTAACGAGTGGTTCGATAGAGGTCTTCTTCATGGGGTCCGAGAAGATGGGGTCGGAGGATCGCGCGGCATCGCCGATGCATCGGCGATGCTGCTCGATGTGGATCCCGACTTTCTTCACGCAAGCGTCGCTGACACATCGCAAACGTCGCCGATGCATCGACGATGCATCGGCGATGCATCGGTGAACTACCGGTAATGCATCGGCGATGCGGCGCGACCCTCCGACCCCATCTACTCGGACCCTGTCTGGGAGGCCGAGATTCGAACAGGCTAAGGGCGGGCGGGCGCTGAAAGGCGAGCTGGGCGAGCGAGACAGGCGGGCGCGCCTGGGCGGGCATGTCGAGCATCCTGAGGGGCAGCGATCGGGGGGGGACTGGCAAAGGAGGGGATGCATCGACCTGGAGTCGGCGATACGTCGACGATAGGCCCCCGAGTGCATCCGCACCTTCCTGGGCAGGCTGGGGCCAAGGGCCCCTATCGGCGATCAATGGGCGATTGGGGGTCGATGCATCACCCCCCCATGCATATCCCCCCCCATCGCTGCCCCCGACATACGGGCGGGGCCTCACGAGCGAGGCGCCCGGGTGCCCGCCCGCGCGCCCGCTCGTACTCGCGGACGCCCGTCCGCACGTTCGCTGGCCCGCTCGCCCGTACCCTTGGCATGCATCAAGAAACGGGTCCTGGACCCCAGGGCCTTTCCCTGGGACCAGCTCTGCATCCTGGTCCCGGGGCCCGTGGAGGGCCCAGGAAGGCCAAGAGCGGCGAAAGACTCAGGACCCGCTTCCCTCAGGACACGTTGGCTTTATGGCGGTACTCGCGGACGCCCGTCCGCCCGTTCGCCGGCCAGCTGGCCCCGCATGCTCGCCCGCAGGCACGCCCGCGCGCACGCCCGCGGGCACGCCCGCGGGCACATCTGCCCGCTCGCCGGCAGGGTCGCCCGCCCGCTGGGGCACGCAACTCCTCCTATCTTCATCCAAGCGGTCGTCCTTGCAGTCCCTCTGCGCTTGAGAGCGTTGCAAGAACTGTCCTTCAGATGGGCGCGCGTTCCTGCAAAACAAAATCTGCGGGGTTCCCCCCGCACTTCACGATTCCATTTCCCAGTGTCTTGCCGTGGCGCCGACCTCCACGCGTTGGAACGATGGCTGGCCGTGGCAGGAGCACAAGGACAGTGGACATGGTGGGCATCATCGGAACCAACAGTCTACATGGCAAATTCAGCATGTGCGTACAAGAATAATAAGCCGCAGTGGCAACAATTCAATAATGGCTGGACCTGAAAGAGTTCGCCGCGCTATGATCAAGCAGTGCCTCCCCGTGGAGTGCGGGCGCGGCACTCCTCCAGGCACATGGTCGTCTCTGCCTGCTCCTCCTGGTCCTCGTTTCCAGCTTTCTGGCCTTTAGTGGGGAGTCGGAGCGGTGCCATCGACGAGACCAGGTGGGAGTTGGTCTCGCTGATGGACGCCGTCGGAGACAAAGAGGGCGCCGCAAAATGCAAGTCCCAGCTCGATGCCAAGATCACCACCTCTCATGATGAGCCACCAACTTCAACAGAAGGTGGGGAGAGCGTATCACCACATGCGGAGACTGGAAGGCAAGCTAGCACAGCAGTGCCTTATCTGAAGCAGTTTCAGCAAGACGCTTCTTACGAACGTCAACTTGTTCAGAGGCTCAGTAAGTGATTTGGTTGTGGCAGAAGCGACCCAAAGTCTTTGTTTCAGGAGTTCCATGAGTAGGCGGAATGTGGTACTGGACCCGAATCGCAAGCAAGGGAGGTCAGCAGCGCAGAAGTCCTCACCATTAACCTCCTTGCAGGCAAACCGATTTCCATCAATGTGGATTCGCAATGGCTCCTCAGGCAGAGTTCGACATCAGCCAAAAGGGCAAGCATGAAACAACGGCCCGCCTTAGGAAGTTGCAGGGACCGGTTCGCAAATGCAGCAGATGCTCAGCAAGGCCGCGGAGGTCACAGCAAAGTTATGCGAGAAACAGGTCGCACAGCTGGCAATCATGAGTGGCGGCCAAGAAGTGACGGGTCGATACTCGAGATGATGGGCAGCCTGGCACGGGAGTGCCGGCTGGCGGCGGCGACGATCGCGACGGTGCTGGAGGCGAAGGCGGAGCAGGCTCTGCTGCACCAGCCACACCACCAGCATCAGGGGCGTCGTCGGCAACCGAGGTCAGAGAACATGCCCGACGAGCGCTACATCCAGCCCACCCCTCCGAAGGCCCCACTGCTGGAGAAGGGGGGAAGCAATGTGAGCAAACACCTTTGTCGGCACCATGTGCCAGGTGAAGTTGTGCATGTGATCTCTGGGTCAGGCCTCACCTCCCCGACTTTGAAACGATCCTGGGCTGCGTTGGCCCACGCCCTAGTCCCCAGGATCCGCCAAATGGTTTTCACCAGGCCGGCTGTGGGACGGCGTGTGCCTTCCCCCTGCTGGTTCTTTCTCGGCTCGCCTGTCCGTCATGGGTCTCCATAGCTGACGCCACATCCGTCCCTCGGTACCGATTTTTTGAATCGTTGGGGAAAGCTGTTCGGCGCACGTTGCTCAGGGCCCTGCAAACCCCCTCCCCCCCGAACGTGGCAAATCCATAACCTAACCTGACCCAGGCCCTGTCGTCACTACGCCAAAGCTGCCGCCCCCCCCCCTCCTTCGCTAACGCGCCCCCTAATGAAACAAAGCCGGCAATAAATCATGAATGGATCGAATATCTTAATGCAGTTGAAAGTGAATCATGCAATTCTTAAATGTGTTATGTTTTGAAGATTCGCAAGAGTTCATAACACGTGTCAAAGCAATGGTCATTAATAACTGATAAGTGTAAATCTATATGCAAAAATGTATAGGTTAGCTGCTATATTAGGTGGGGAACATTGTTGCTACCACGTGCCAATCGTCTTGACGAAGCTCACAAACGCACGGAACACCCAGGCGAAGTAACGCGAGCGAAGAAGGAAAAAGGGAGGGCGGAAACCGAAGATAGACTACGGAGTCCCAGGGCCCCCCCAGTTTAAACAGGTTCGTTCAGACCAAGTACATCAAGTCATGTCGCTCACAACCTTCCCATGCACTCGCTGACACACTAGCTGCTACATTAATTGGGGAACGCTTTTGCTACCGCGTGCGACTTGTCTTGGCAAAGCTCACAGGCGCACCAAAAAAAAACAAACATCCCAAAGGGTTCACTGGGAGGGTGAGGAGGGCCAGGGAAGCATAGCCGCTTCAAAATCCATGTGGCGGCTGAGCAAACAGTTTACCATGCGATCGGCTAATGTCTGCGTGGCCCCAGACGGGCCTTGCCCTCGAGGACGGCGTGCGATTTTCCCGAGGCCGAACAAACACCTTTGGAACTGCGACAGCCCCTCTCGGGCTTAAGGGCATCTTGGGGGGTCGACACCGAAAAACAACAGCTTGGTGCGCTTCCTCCAACGAACTCCGAGATGGCACTGATCACAGACACTGACATGCATATTGCCTACAGTCATCAATTGTTTCAGCTGTTGCGCGTGCCAAATTCTACGGTTGATCGAGTGCTCGAGCACAAGGGGGGCCACATCGCGGATAAAAATTCCCATGCGCCATAGGGCCGCCCAAACAAGCAACGCTACCTGCTGCGATCCTACCCCGCACGTATTCGGCGGCATCCGGGACTCCCTAAGGGCGTCGGGCCGAGCGCCCTGGCTGCCCCCCTCGGTCGGCCGCCGCGCGCGTATCACTTCTTTTCTGGCGACAACGGCCCGACTTCGAGCGATGACATCTGGGCGGGTGAGGTCCGCGCCCGCGCCATTCTCACTGTCAAACCCGCGATGCTTAAACCGCACCCTTAACACGGCGTGTCCTATGGAGCCAGAACAAGAGATGGCACGCATACTTGCGGCAGCGGCTCGCCCATCTTGCAGGATAATACCTCGGCGCCTCTTTCGAGCGGCATGTCCTCTGGACGACGCTCCCAACTTGTCAGAATTTCTCGCAGATGGCACAGTCGCGACTGGCCTGGTCGCACCTTCTCGCACCGCTGCGCTGACTTGGCGAGCTTCCACGGACCTTTGATCGGGATCTTCTCGAGCGTTCTGTGGTGATGTCTGGCTACCTCGATGATTGGGCTCGGATGTCGGGCTCTGCGTGGCGCTGCGTGCTGGCCCATCTGAATCCCCTGCAGGGCCAGTCCGAACACATTCAGGAAATATGGGAAATGCTGAACTCCCAGACTGGCGCTTTCGGACCCCCGCTGGCGAGCTCGTGGAAGATGGGCATGGCGGACTGAAACCAGCCACTGTCGAGCCTGACCCCGACGCCCGCCAGATCCAACTTGCCCCCCTGCGGCCTGCCCCTTTGGAACAGCAGCCGCGACCGCCGGCGGCGCGGCCTGGGCGCTGGCGCGACGCAGGTGGCCGGACAGTGTCGCGGACAGGAAGACCGCCATCTGGAGGGCCTTGCGCAACGCCAGGTGCCGCGCCAAACCGCGCCCGCGGGCCGGCGGCCAGGCCCCGCGGCTCTGTCCAGGCGCCGGCCCGACGGCCCCGGAGGAGCCTCCAGGCTCGCGAGGTCTTCGCTTCCTCCCGCCTCGAGAATTCGGGGAGTCTTCGCATCGGCCCTGTCCTCGCCTGGGCGCCCGCGGCGGACTCGGGGCCGTCGAAAAGCAACTGGTCAACGTGGTCCACGAGGCCTCCGTCCACCTGCAGCGCGGTCTCGAAGGGCCCCGTCGGCCCCCCGTAGCAGGCCCCCCAGGCGGCGTTCAGCTCCTGGCCGCGCCTCCGCTGCGCATGGACGAACGCCGAGCGGCGCCCCAGGAAGGCCGGGCCTCCTCGGTTGCGCTGTCCAGCAGCGCCCCGGTTCCGTAGGTCCGCCTGCGCTCGCTGGCCCCCCATCGGCAGAACTTTCTCGCGCCTCTCGCCGGCCTGCGCGACCAGCTGCCCGTCGAAGGTGCTGCCGCTCTCGTCGCTGGCGGCCCCGCTCTGGCGCCCCCAGCCCTGGGGGGGCGGCCGGCGGCCGCGCATCCAAGCTCAGGAGGCCCACTCCCGTGGCCGCTGGGCCGCCGAAGGCGCGGCCTGGCGCCGCGGCGCCGGAGGTGGCCTCGGGCTGGTCGCCGACGGGCGCGGCGGCCGCGCGCCCCGAGCCTGCGGCGCGGCAGGCCCCGTCTGCTCCAGCCGCCTGGGCCGCCGCGCCGAGGGGGCCTGCGTCTGCGTCGGCGCCGCCCGCTCCAGCCTCCGCCTCCGCATGCCGATCGGAAGAACTGCGGGGGGCCGAGTCCCCCATGAAAGGTTTGAACCAAAAAGGAGCACGGGGGCGTCAGGCCACTCTCGGGGCGCACGGGGCCGGCATTGGCACGCGCACTTCTCTTCGCACCCGGGCCAGGCTCGGGCGACGGACTGCAAACGCTGAAGGGAGAACGTGGCTCGTGGGGCTGGCCACAAACACTGCGCGGGGACGAATGCGGGAAGGGGGCGCGAAACAAGGGGGGCCCTGGAAACTGGACTTCATGGGAGGTGGGGCATCGACGATTTGTTCACCGAGGGACTCCTCGGCCCCTTTCTAATCAAAAACGCGAGACCCGTAGTCGGCTGGATTCAGCTCAGACGGGGCCCATGGGGCTGACAATTTCATGTTCCTCGCAAACAAGTAGGCATGGAACCTGCAAGCCTGAGCGAGGAGGGCGGACTCTTTTGCTCAACCACTGTTAATGGACAGCACAACTTGCATATTATCCGACAAGATCAGCTGTCAACAGGCGGCACCGAACACAGACTGGGCGATGCGTTGGCGCTAATCGCCAAGGCACGAGCCTCCTTGATCAGGACGCCCTTCAAGACACGCCTGCGCGGCACCTGGCGCGCCAGCTGCTGCTCGCAAGGCCTGCCGTGGGGGCCGCGGGGAAGCCGGGGTCCGCCTCTCAGGTCGGGCCCAGCTTCTCATCTCCACCCGCGGCGGCCAGCTGCCACTCGCAGTCGGCGTCCCGCCAGAAACTGGCAGCCGCCAGAGCCGACTCCCGCGCGCCGCGGCGGCGGCGGGCAAGCCGCCCCCGCCCTCGGGCTCGCTGGAGACGATCTCGCGGAAGCGGGCGCGCTCCTGCGCGCGGCCCACCTCGGCGACCATCGCGCAGGGCCGACGGGTGATCGAGACTGCGCCGGCCTCGAGGCCACTGTCGGCGGTCACCGCCAGGTCGTTCCACTGCGGCGTCCAGTCACTCTCTAAGACCACCAGCACCAGGAGCCCTCGGAAGGCCTCCAGTTCCTGGCGGGCCTCGTGCCACAGGGCAGTGGGCTCAGCATAGGACTTGCGCATGAACGCATGCGCAGAGTGGAAGGCGCAGAGGGCGCCGCGCGCCACCAAGCCTGCGAACGCGCAGTGGCCAACGAGGACCTCCACCGCCCACCCTGTCAGGCGACGCCGGCGCAGCAGGCCATTCAGGACCTGGGGCCTGGCGCATCAGCCAAAAGCGCTTCTGGGTGACTCGCGTTCCCCAGCGCGACCCCGAGACTTCGGTGGGCCGAAGTCTATAAAGGAGCTGCCGCGCAGCAGCAGGCCCCGCTCGTCGAAGCCCAGGGCGAGCTGGCCGATGGCGTCGGTGGCGAGGGGCCCCGAGATTGAGGCCACTCCCAGGTTGCCCACGTAGTGCGAGGTGGGGCTCATTGGCACAGCTGGCCCGAACATGGGGGGCCCGCCTTGACCCGCACGGGGCTCTGGGACAGCTGCGGGCAGATCGCCCGGGCCCGGCTCTCGTTGATGCGCTGGGCGACCCACGGGCCCCGCGTGGAGCCCATGGGGGGGCCCCCCCGGCAAGGGCTGGCCAGGTCGCGCCTCTCGAGCGGCCGACCCTCCCAGCTCTGGCCCCCCGCGCCCGGCGCGCGCGCGGGCGGCGCCTCGGGCGGGCGGGGGCGCCCGGGCAGCCACTCCAGCAGCCGCGGCCGCAGCCGCGGAAGCAACCCTTCACGCCCGCCAGGCCCAGGTGGAGGCCGCAGCCCTGCAGCGCACGCTGGGCCTCAGGGCCCCGCGGGTCGAAGCCCCCGGGGAGCTCGAATTCCACGCGGCTGGGGCCCTCGGCGCCGAGCAGCGCGACCCCCGGCGGCGGCTCGAAGAGTTTGTTCGCGGGGCGGGCGCCCCGGATGCGGCGCAGCCTCTCGCCGCCGTCCTTCTCCGCGAAGAAATGGCCTACCTGGCGGGCCGCGGCGAAAAAGGTCGGCAATGAATGTCGATCGGTCTTGGCGCTCCTTCAGCGCCGGGTCGGAGTACGGCGTCGCAGCCGAGGGCGGGCAGTCTGCGCGTTGCATGCGCTTGGGGCGCTCCTTCAGGAAGCGCTGGACCACGGGGGGGCGTTAAACGGCCGGCAGCCCTCGGCGGACTCGGGCAAGGGGGCGGGGCCCTGTCTGAAGGGCGCGACACGGGCGAGGCAGCCCGCCCCTTCGCACGGAGCACGCCCGCGCAACGGCCGGCGAACGGCCGCGCGTTCGCCGAGGGGGGCCCGGGTGCCGCCGCGAGGCCAACTCGCAAATCCGCTCCAAAACCTCGAGCTGCATCGGATCAGGCTCGGAGTACGTCGGGCCGTCCCAGAAGCCCGCGATCCAGTTCAGTGCGCCCACCGCCTCGTTGCCCATCTTCAGCACCAGCCGCTCGCGCCTTGAGAGCTCGGCCACGCATGGGCCGGTCTCAGGTGCCGCGGGCAAGCGCCAGCAAGGCAGTCGGAACAGCTGCCTGGCAAAGCGCGAGGCGGCACGCAGGCCCCGCGCGACCCCTGCATCCCGGCTGGGGGCGGGGTTCCCCCCGGCCATGGGGACCGCCATGGCCCCGCGGGGGGGCGGGCGTAGCCCTCCCCCCCCCGCCTTCCTTCTGGCCCTTGGGCGGCGACCGCTTCAGCCCGCTCTTCGCGTGCCCCGCGGCGGCCTCGCCCTCCAGAGGCCTACCGAAGCCCTGGCCGAGGCCCATCTGGGCCCCCCGCTGCCCCTCGATCTTCCGCGCCGCGAACTGCGGCAGCGCGATGCTCGCGACGCTGTCCGAGGTCGCAACCCCAGCGAACAGGCAGGCGCGGTCCTGCGCAGGCTTGGCCCTTTTTTGCAGTAGACAACAGCCAAGCCCACAACTCGCCGCGCAGTCGCTTTCAGGCGCGTCAGGCATCCAGCGTTCACCTGATCATGAACGGCCGCCCGGCACTGGATCTCGCGCGGCAGCCGCAACTCACGAGCGGCCCCATTGCTCTCACCTATGGCCCTGGCGTGTAGAAAATCTCGCAGCGGCAACGTCGAGTCTCCGCTGGCGCGCCCCATGCTCTTGCGCACAATCAAAGCCGACGCTGGGCCCTCGATGGGCCAGTCAGGGAACGCCCCCCGAGCGGCCGCTCGAGTGGCCAGCAACGCGGAAATGTCCTCGGCCAACAGTGCACCCACGCAGCGCAGACCCCCGTCGAAGACGAGCAGATCGACCAACGCCGTCCCGGGGACGAAGCGCGTGTCAGAGCGATCGGTCGTAGTCCCGACCGCGGCGCTCATGGCCGGCTCCGCCAGCACCCAGACCCTGTGGTCCGCCAGTGTTCCGGGGGACTGCCTCCCGCGCAGGCAATTGGCCGCAACCCACGCGGCCACTGCGAAGAACACGGGCCTTTCCATGAGCTCGCCGCCGGGCCCCATGATCTCCAGCGGCGCCGCATGGGTGGTCCCTGGCGAGCAAGACTCGACCCGCTCGCGGGCCCTGACGATCGCCGCGCGCAGCTCCTCATCGTCATCCGCTTCCGAGAGCGGTAGATCGGCTGTGGCCACGCTTCGGGTGCACCTCCGCCCGCGGACATCAGCGTGGCGCCTCCTCATACTCGTCGCCGCCGGGTGTCCTGCCCATCCAGGTGCCGGGCGGCACGCCAGGGAAAGGGAAAACACGCCCATGATCCACAGGATCGATAGTATAGCACCCGACGGGCTAGAGCACCCGACGGAACGTCGGCCTGGCCCCAGGGATCTCCACCACTCCTGCGCCACGTCGCGCGGGAGCAACGCCATCCTTCTCGGCGGGGGTGGCGCCCGCAGCCCGGCAAACCTTGGCACAGCAGCGTCGCAAGCAGCGGCCCGCCTCCAGCACAGCACCAGCGCCACCAGCAGCCCAGGGGTCGCCGCGACGAGCGTGCCCAGGGGGTACGCCTCTGTCCCCGCGAGAGAGACCTCTGGCACCGTGCACACCGCGGGCGCCGACGGGCACGGCGGTGCCTCCAAACACCGGGGGGCACGCCTCGCCCGGGTCCTTGGGCGGCAACCACGCGGGCGGGCACGCGGCCTCCAGCACGCAGGGCGGGAGCGTGGAGGGCAACGGCGATGGCTCGAAGGGCCGCAGGGAAGCCAGGTGCAGAAACCCCAGGGCGAAGACCGCCCAGTGCCGGGCGGGCACCTGAGTCATCTCGAGCCGAAGAGACTACGGAGTCCCAGGGTCCCCCCAGTTTAAGCGGTCTCGCTCAGACATGATACATCAAATCATTTCGCTCACAACCTTCCCGTGCACGCGCTGACATATGTGTATATATATATAGATGCATCTGCTATGTCCCTGCTGAGTGAATATGTGAATCGTAGTACCGTGACAGCGCGGCGCCCAAACTGGGATACAGCGGCGAACCCAGGAGGGAGTCGGCGGTCGCCGGGACACCGTCGCTGGCTCTGCAGCCCCAACTCTCCCGTCTACAGCAATACGGTTTCCCGGTTTGGGCTCAACGGGCTCGCAGGCGACAGATTTCCAGGGCGGGAGCTGCGCTTCCCCAGTTCGGAGTTCAACCCTCCCCGCGCCCCTTCTTCCCCCTCCTCCGCACCTCTCTTCTCCCTAGGCCCTCCGCCCTCCCCCTTCTCCCCTTTCCCTTTCAGCCCTGCCCCGTCTTCCCTCCTTTCCCCCCCCCCATCCCTTCCCTGCCCTTCTCCATCCTCCTCCTGCAACTTGTCAATTTCCCCTCCTCCTCCTCCTCCTCCTCCTCCACCTCCTCCTCCTCCTCCTCCTCCTCCACCTCCACCTCCTCCTCCTCCTCCTCCTCCTCCTCCTCCTCCTCCTCCGACCTCCCAGCTACCCACCCACCCCGTCCAAGGGTCTCCCCAACGATTCCTTGGCCCAAATCATGGGCCCAAGGCGCAGCCACCCCTCCCACCCCCCCCAGCGGAACAAGCCATCCCTTCCGCGGCGATTCCCAAACATGCAACGAACCCCCTTTTATCCACCCTCACCTCCGCCCTCCCGTCACCCTTCATGCCCCCGCCCCCTCCCTTCATAGAGAGCAGACACAAAAGACGCATAATAAGCACACCGACCAGCAAAACCGTTCAGTAAAGGCACCCAAGAACAAACACAGGGCAAGACTGTCCAGTTAACGCCCAGCGCCGTTCAGTAAGCGCCAGCTGGTAAGGGGGTCGTTTTTTTCGTCCTTGCTGGACATCACCCTCACTTTCCCCCTCCCCCTCATCCTCCTCCCCTTCCCGTCCTCCACTACACCCCAGGCGTGGAAGGAGGAGGAGGAGGACGAAGAAGAGGAGGAGGAGGAGGAGGAGGAGGAGGAGTAGAAGGGGAGGGAGAGGAGGAAGAGGAGGAGGAGGAGGAGGAGGAGGAGGAAGAGGAAGAGTCGAGGAGGAGGACGGCCGAATGAAGAGGAGGAGGAGGAGAGGAGGAGGACGGCCGAATGAGGAGGAGGAGGAGAAGGAGGAGAAAGAGGAGGAGGAGGAGAAGGAGGAGGACGGCCGGAAGAGGAGGAGGAGGAGGAGGAGACGGAGCGAGGAGGCGGAGAAAGGAGGAGGAGAAGGAGGAGGAGGAGTTGGAGTTGGAGTTGGAGTTGGAGTTGGAGGAGGAGGAGGAGGAGCAAAGAGGAGGAGGAGGAGGAGGAGGAGGAGGAGGAGGAGAAGGAGCAAAGAGGAGGAGGAAGGGCTGAGCAGGACACCATCCCTCCACGCACAAAAGGCGCGACACCGCCGCTCATCCCCCATAAGCGAAAGCTGCGGGCGGGCGCTGCGCCTGACGTCGTCGTCGGAGCCGTCGTCGCCAACGCACGGCTCGAGAGCCAACTGCGTCTGCTTACCGGCTGCGTTGGCGCCCAGGCACAGGCCAGCGGTTCCTGCAAGCGCAGGGAAAGCCCTGAGCTCAACCGCCGCCTCTGCCTCTGCCTCTGCCTCTGCCTCTGCCTCTGCATCCTCCTCCTCCTCCTCCTCCACCTCCTCCTCCAACTACTCACTCTCCTCCTCCTCCCCCTCATCCTCCTCCTCCTCCTCCTGACCCCCTCCCCCCTCCTCCCGACTGTCCCGCTTCCCTTTCCAGCCCCGCTCCCCCCACACAGACCCTTCGCCCGCCTCAGGTTCCCGCCGTGGCCTTTCTCGCTCCTCCCTCCTCATGCTGACCGCTGACCCTTCTCCTCCTGATGCCCCTCCTGCTCACGCGCAGGCGTCCAACGGGGCGCGGCGCTTTCGGACAAGCCTAAACTCCCAAGGCGGCGCCCTCGCCAACTCACAGTCGGGCGGCGCACGTTCCGTGCGCCTCTCGACAGTGGCCTCTCCTCGTGGCCCTGCTGCTGATGCTGCTGCTCCTGATTTCCATGATCGTGTTATTGTTAAGGTTTTGTTATGGTCTCTCTCTCTCTCTTTCTCTCTTTCTTTCTCTCTCTCTCTCTCTCTCTATATATATATGTATCCCGCTCCTCGACTCCTCTTCCGCCCTCTTCTGCACCCGTCCACTGGAGCACCGTTGGATGCTTGAGGCGGGTTTGTGGGGCTGAGTGCTGCCAAAGTCTGTTGCCTTTCGGCCCCCCGAACCTCGTCTTCTGTCTTACAAGCGTGCCGCCGTCTGTGCCAACAGAGGGTGCTTCAGTCGGTGCCCACCTCCTTCTGTTCTCTCTCCTCCTCTTTCTCCCGCTCCCGATGCTCCCGCCGCTGGTATTTCTGTCCCCCCGATCCTCCGCTGTGGGGGCGCACAGGCGCCGAATGGGTGAAGGTAAAACTCATAGCAGTGAACACCAGGTCGGTGAACGATCTCGCGGCATTTGCTCCAGTGTGTTGTGGTGTCGCAAGAAATTGAATGCAACAATTGTACATGCTCCCCTTCTGCAAGCCAAGCTTCCCCCGGCCCCTGAAACCCTCCTCTGACCACGCCCTGGGCGGGGAATCCCAAGACCCTTGCCTACCACAGCCCCATCGTAAATCACCCTGGGGCAACACTCCCAGGGCGACGATCCCTGATAAAATACCAGGGCCACGATACCCAGTAAATCATCACGGGTCCGCGCTCCCAATGCTATACAGGATCCACGTTCTCAGGGCGATAATCCATTTCGGAGCCCGCACTCCCAGAGCCACGATCCCTTGTAGATTACGCCGCATTCGCGTTCCAGAAGCGACGACCCCTGATAAATTCTAACAGACCCGCGCTCCCAGGGCCCCAACCTCTCGTAACATCCTTATGTTACGCGGGATCCGCGCTCCAGCAGCCTCAATCTCCGACACACGATGCTGGATCCGCGCTCCCAGGGCCACAGCCCCTCGTACCGCTCGATGGCTCCACGCTCCAAGGGTGGCAATCTCTTTGAAGCATGCTCGACATGACCACAAATCAGCGACGGCCAAAAGCGGGTCTCACGAGAGATACCATAGCGACCTTCCGCGGTAGCTGACGCGGGCCGCCAATGCGACCCTACGCGGGCAGCTTGCGCGCGAGTGCCGGTGCAGTGGGCCCCGTGTTCTTCCGCCGCTCAAGTCACTTCAGCGCGACCCAGCCAAGAACTCGGAAGAGGGCCTACTATTACTCCAGGCGAGCCCCGAGAGGGCTCCAGGAGGCTCCGGCAGAGCAGCGCGGCAATCCGATCATTGACCATAAAGGACCCACGATGCCGCGGGATCGTGTTGTGTCGACCCCGGCATTGGTTTCTGACACAGCGAGGATCGTACAACCTTGAACGATCGGCCGTTTCTGGAACGACAAATCGTTCAACATCGACCGATCATGGGTCGCTGGCGCCGTTCAATGTTGAACACCGGCAGCGGGGTCGCCGCTGGCCGACACGTAAACACATCGGAGCCCCGACAAATCAAAGAATCAACGAGGGCTCATTGGGAGAGTTAGGAAACCCCATTTTTTATTTATTGTCTTTCCGACGACTCTGACCAACTACCGTGAAAGGCCTACACGCAGACGTGAAACATGCGCTGTGCCTTGCCATACTTGGCCGTGGAACACTTATACTTAGCTGCCAACCCAATTGCGTCCTCTATGGCCATGGCTCCGGCTGTGGATGATAACGCAGGTGGAAGAAAATTATGTGCCGCCCATAGATGAGGGATATATATATAATGAAGACATCGCGAAGCAATGATTCCAATACAACATACACAACATAGGAATTTGCTGTCCCTTCCGGTGACAGTCGGAACTCCATTTCACGGGTCAATCACTTTAAACTCTTATTGGCAACGGGCCGACGACAAGAAAAACCAAAACACAATTCTATGATCTCGTGTACGGTCGAATCGCCAAAGAGGTATCAACAAAACATTGTATCATAACCCAGCTATGACTGGCAGAGCCAAAGCATTTCGTATTCGGAAGTTCGGTAAGTAATGCCAATTGCGTAATCAGATCAGCAACAGTCACAAGAGCTGCATTGAAAAAGTGCTCCGAAGTGTGCAACTCCGTATGAGGCGTAGCTATCCTGACGCATCCTGTAGACTGACAACCAAGCAGCCAGCTGGCTCCTGCATGCCTAGGGAACTGCAAGTCAAACTGTTTCCTGAGGGTAAGTCCGATGTCATCGTCGGAAATCAAACGAGGATACTGCAAGCGACTATCCAAGAAAAACCTTCCTCGTACACATCCGCAGGACATTTGCAACAGAGGGGATGCTCGCTGCAAGACCCAACCCCCATCGATGGCCAATCAAACATGTGTCAGAAATTAACCCTGAATCCAACACGCAAGTTGTCAGCGCGTGCAAGCCGACCTGGTCAAGGGTGGGGAGGGCGGTTCTGTCCATCAATGCACAACTCGATGTACACGTTTGGTTCTCTCGGAGGCGCAAATGAGCAACTTTGTCATACGCAGCGCCCTCAAAAAAAATGCGCGTGGGGAGCTGAAGATTGTGGACGGCGGTGACGCAACAATTGACTGACGGTGTTCGCACGCGCGGTTGCGCAATGACCCATGGCAGACGGCTTGAAGATATCTATCAGATCGTTGCGCTGCCCTGGTGCAAGCCTGCGTAGATCATGTGTTCGAAGGACCTTCTTGATAGAACAGGCGCGTTCGACCACTGGTTCTTTGGCTGGATAACTGCCTGACCGTGTGTTTCCGATACGCATTTGCACGAACAAATGACTGCACTGACTGCGGCTCATGCTCGTTTTGCCCGACAAAAAATTCAACGTGTCCAACAAAGTGCAAGCCATGAGCCGGTGATCGCAATCTGCAAGGCGGGTCGCATGAGGGGCAGAATACTTGTCAAACTTGATCGGCAATATTCTCACATTCGCTGCAGGATAAAAAACAACGTGACCAGGCCGTGCAGCTCGGTAGCCTTGCTGACCCTTGGCAACCACGAGCGCACAAGGGCTACTAGTGTTTTTGACCAGATCTCGATGCGAGCGAAGTCTGGGATCTGTTAGTGCATCGGCATCAACGCGGTTCAGCGATAGCGACTGCAAACTGCCCAGAAGCTCTGCAGGCGCCAGGTGCGCACCTACTGAATTGATTGACCAAGCAGGACTGCCCAACTGGCCGATAGGAAACGCGCTCGCGCAATCCATCCCGAATGCACTCCAATTCGATGCAGTCTGCCGGAACTTTCTATAGAATAACTGGGCGTCCGCCGCCTCTCTGCTAGACCCCCGCTGGCCCGACAAAGAGTGGGCGCAACTTGCGATTGCGTGCCGTTCCAACGACAAAGTCGCAATCGCCAATGTTTCTGCTTCTGCCGTGGGGACCGCGCAGACGTCGGACAACACGCGGGCGATCGCATTGAAGAGAAATCCTTGCTCCAACATGCTACACGCGGCGATTGTCGGCTGGCATCGGGGGCGGATGAGGCCGATAGGCCTAAGAAGATCACTTCCTCAGACGAGAGCGCGAGCGAACTCAAACAAATCAGTTCAATGGCGCGAGAGCGCCCCGAAGCCGAATGGGCAGCGAGGATGCTGTCGGTCACAAAGGGGAGAGAGAGGACAGAAGAGGAAAATGATAACAGCGGGACCACTTTCAGCGGGGCCGACAGGGGGCCAGGGACGTCACCACCCCCCCGAGACACTCCGGATAGCTCACAATAAACCGGATCCCCCAGACGTCGTTCCTCGCTCTCCCTCGCGAGCTCCTTCCTCGAAGCAGTTCTTGAGCGGCACTTCAATGAACTGTTCAGTGCTCTCTCCGACATGTGACCGTCCTTATCTATCAAGCAGATAGTCCCACGGCACAGAAGATCGGCCAACGCCAAATTGCCCTTGGCGGGGTCAGCCTTCGTGAGAGCATCCGCGGCCATGCGGCCGTGCGGGGCCCATCTGATCTGGGATCCCACCGCGCGCATTGCGTCTCTCACTACTGCCAGCTCGATTGAGGTTCGACGATCCTGCTTCGAGCCAGCACTGTTCTTATTGAGTGTATCAAACACACACTTGGCGTCGACCACCGAAAGCGACGACGCGCCATGAGCAAGCGCACACTGCGTGCTCAGGACAAGCGAGAAAGGTGCGGAAGCAAGGTGCCAGTCCGGCCGATTCACGCCGGCAAGAACGAGATTTCTCCACATCACCTGAAGCCACTGTGCTTCCGCGAGGGCGGCTGACAAACTGAGGGTCTCAGCAGCGCTGGTGGACGAAACAAGCGAATGGAACGCCAGGCCAGGGGGGGCGCCCGGGCCCGACGGTTCTGACGAATTTCCGAGTCCGCCGCGACGACGAGGAAAGCTCCCTGGGCCCCGTTCCTCCGGGCCGAACCAGGGCCCCCAGCGTCGGATAGAGCGACGAAAGTCAGAGACACTGGATCGAGCGGCCATGCCACTATGTGCTGAGAGGCGGTCGCCTTGAGATGCCGCGCGATCTTGAGACAAACTAAAGCATCCTCCACGGTGGGACCAGGACGGGCGGC